AGATTTCTTTTAAGAAATTCATCTAAACCGTTGATGAATAAGTTTTTTTTACCTTTGACCATTTCAATTTGTAATCCTACGTCACTTTCAGGGCTGCAAACACCACATCTGCCTCCACATTTACCTATAACTTGAAGTCCTTCCTGGAAAGGGACAAATCAAAAACAACATTTCAGTAAACATCAAGACAAAAAAGTAAACGCTTTGTACAGAAAATGATCACACGTTCACACTAAGCTCGTTTCACTTTTCCCTTTGACAAACTTCAAAACTGATTAAACACGATATCGCGATCCTCAGTTTTTGAAAATTTAGTAACAGCACAAAATGAGAATGACGATCAAGAAATATTACCAACGTTCACTTAGATCTGCGCAGAAAAAGAAAAAAATTACTGCATAAAATAAAGAAGTATGTCAAAACTAGATCGATAGCCGACCACGACCGCGGTGACTGTAGACCGATTTTAAAAAGAGTCAATTTCCATTCAAGATAACAACGCGAGTTTTGTGTTGCAACAAACCGAGAACATTAAAAGTTCTATCGTGTAAGTACTATAACATATTTTGGGACCAACATCATTGGTAAACATGTGATCAGAAACAGAGAAACAGGGCTCTATTGTTTCCGCCGTATTTTTGTAACTTATTTTCCTGAAAACAATTGCAGACTGACGTAAGTCTAAACNTAAAGAAGTATGTAAAAACTAGATCGATAGCCGACCACGACCGCGGTGACTGTAGACCGATTTTAAAAAGAGTCAATTTCCATTCAAGATAACAACGCGAGTTTTGTGTTGCAACAAACCCAGAACATTAAAAGTTCTATTGCGTAAGTACTATAACATATTTTGGGACCTACATTATTGATAAACATGTGATCAGAAACAGAGAAACAGGGTTCTATTGTTTCCGCCGTATTTTTGTAACTTATTTTCCTGAAAACAATTGCAGACTGACGTAAGTCTAAACTATTCGTATGTTATTTTCCTACTGCTGTTATCACACCTACCGGATATCTGTAGATAATTTGAGAATATGCCTGCCCAGTGGAGCCCCACATTACTTTAGAAGTTAACTTGATGCCAGTATCTCGTAAATTGATGCTAAAACGACCCTGAAAATTGAAATAGCAGAAAAGCTTTAAATTTGTCGCCACACTCTTCATATCAAGAGAGAACTTGCACATCAGGGGCTCATTTTCCATTGTAACCATTTTCAGTATGCGGACAGAGCCACTTTAAATTTTACTTCCAAGCGAGGATAAAAAGTGACAGTGGGTATCCTTCAAAAAAACAACGATTTCTTTATTTTTGAGTTGTGAACTTTCGGATGCTCAGGTTGCCTAGGAACAACTTCTACGACAACTAAGGTAAAGTCTGAATACGAGCCAAGTGGCGTATCAGGCCGGAGCTTATCCCGGTTTCTGCAGTAGCATGAAACAACTAGGAGTATTTCTATTGCCTTCTGGACGGGATGCTAGTCTATCTTTGGGTTACCCCCAGCATTAAATTCGCCGGTACCCATTTATACACCTGGGTGGAGAGAGGCACCGTAAGAGTAAAGTGTCTTGCCGAAGAACACAACACAATGTTCCCCGGCCGGGGCTCGAACCTGGACCGCTTGATCTGGAGTCGAACGCACTAACCATGAGGTCACTGCGCCTCCACTACGACAACTACATAAGACCTTGATTATCTGGAAACTGCGGGCCACTTTCATTTTATCTATTTATTTTGTTTTACTTTACCTGTGGACATTTTCCCTGAGCACTGTAGCAATCTCCTGCTGTTCCATATGATGGAGGATTTAAGCCCCTTGTCTCTGCAAATTGTTTGTCTTCCGCTGAAAAGAGAACGAAAATCATTGTCAGAAAAATGTTAATGAAGCAAACATGATATTCAATGCCAAGCTATGATTGATTGAATACCTGTTGCTAAAAAAACTGTCGGAAAATTAATGCAAGCGTTCAAGAAAAGCGTTTTCGAAACGCATTGTTACGGGCGGAAGGCCTAACCGTAGAAATAAAGCTGCGTTTTCAAATTTCTCCGGCGTAGTGTGAACGCTTCCTAAAGAGTTATGGAAACACTCTTGAAACTCAAGGTGAACACCGTAAAAGCTGTGGAAATAGCTTTCCTTACCCTCCCGAACAAGAAAAATAGGGAAAACANAAAGAGCGCTCATAAATTAAAGGAACAGGAAGCTACAAGGTTTATCAAATTTAAGCCACATGTCTTGGAGTGATTTTCAATTGAGAGTTGAAAGTAATCAAGCAATTACTTTGGTTTTGGTTTTGATTCTATTACTGTTTGAGATTGCCGTCTTAGCCACAACACTTCGTGGATCACAGAAATACGACCTTGCATACAAAGCAGTTTCTCCGAGATACCAGGTGGAAAAACATACGTCAACATCTACATCGCTACATCGCTACCGTACCTGAGTCCATCGCCCAGTATTCCATCTTGGACAGAGCCCAAGATTACATATGGCCTTTTCTGCTGGTTTGGCTCCTTCATCACAAGAGGCGTTCACTCCGCTAACACACTCAATCTGTCGTTGTTTATACCCGCCACCACAAGTAACTGAACACTATGGAAAAATCAAAATACGCGTTAGAGAACGTCAGACAATGCCTTCGATATAATGCTGTTCAGCTGAAATAATAACGGTTACGTTCTAAATTGCTATGGAGGAACCACTTATCCATAATTGTTGCAAATAAAACGTATTTTTGATCTAATGGTTTGTGGATCGTGTTCGTACAGTTTCAAAATTTCCAAACGTCTTTGGATTTCTGAAACGTACCCAATATAATTAAAAAGTCCGCAATTTAGATCAAATCGAAGCTTACTAAACTACTTATGCAAAACTCTCTGACAGAGAGATGTACAATAGCAATGCTAGAATTCGTTAAAAACAAATGAAAGATAAGTGTTTACACCTCAGACCATTCTCCTATTTTCCATTCTGGACATTGTCCCAGGTTACAGGTCGCTTTGTTAGCCGGTTTGGTCGCCGCATCACAGCTGGTAGCTTTCCCATTGCATACAACTACACGCTCTTTAACTCCTTCGTCACAAGTTGTTGAACACTTGAAATTCAATAGAAGAAAAAGGAGAGAAATCACAACAGTGGCATTTGCTAGATTTGTTCATAATGTGGCCGTAAACGCGGACAGAAAAGGTAGAAATTAGAGTTTATAGAAATCCTTACACTAAATGTAACAACAGGTGTCTTTTCTCGTGTCAATTATGTAGTTATGCGGACATTTATTACTGTTTGATTAAGGATATGTTCTGATTTGCTTACCTGTGACCATTTTGTGACTTTCCAGTGAGGACAGGAACCAGCGTTACAACTGACAGAGCTCTGTGGTTTTGTTTTTGGGTCACATTTGTTTGTTCCCGCACTACAGGAGACAGGGCGCTGTTTCCGTCCATCTCCACAGGTTACTGAGCACTGAAAGGAAGGCACATGATTACGGCCGGTCACAAGCATTCATATAGCTGTCGCATTAGGCAAAAGTACCAGAGTCCTATTACGATGTGGCTGGACTACAGTTAAACCAAGACGTGGTACGATGACATACGAACCTAAAATGACTACTGCAGCTCAGTGGTAATTTAAGGTAGTTTGAAAAACACTCACCAAGCTCCACTCCCCAGTTTCCCATTTAGGGCATGCACCAAGTTCACATCTTGTTGCCGATGTCGGCTTCCTGGCTGGATCACATGTGATGTCCGATCTGCTGCATTCGACCCTACGTTGTTTCGATCCACTCCCGCACGTGACAGAACACTTAGAATAGATGATCATGAAAACTATTAGCGCTTTTTTTGATCAACTGTAGAAATGCCGAGAATGCGATAGGAAGAAAAACCAAAATATTTGAAAGACCCCTACCTTGCTCCATTCCCCTGCTTTCCATTCTGGACAGGCCCCAGGGTTACATTGAGAAATATCTTCTGGTCTGCCTTTAGGATCACATTTATTTCTTCCTCCACTGCATATGACGGCACGCCTTCGGGAACCAATTCCACACGTCACTGAACACTGCAAGACAACCAATCAGTTAGCAGATGTAAAATGGGGTCGGGAAGAGAGAAACACAGGACAATATAATCGCATCATCTCGGAGATTCACAAGATATTTCTGATCTTTCTTCAACCTTTTCTCGCCTTAATGTTTCCCCATAACTCAGAGATTTTGCCCTCGAATAATTGCTCTTGAGAATAGGAAGATCAGTACCCCAAATCAATAGAGAGACGGACGTCGCAGTAAATGGAGATATGTTGTCATACAGGATACACTCAGATGGGGCAAGTGTGGACCATGTGTTGGGTTCCTTACCGGTAGACAGCCAAAGCAAAGACCAGGAGTGTTCTCTAAAGATGATCCAAAGAGCATCCGATCCCAGAAATTCTTGCGAAGACGCTGAGTACTTCTGAACTCTCCGAAATGGTTTAAGAAAGTAGTTGAAATCAAAGAGGAGATGTGATCTGAAAATCTCGCAAAATTTCCTACCAAACTGAAGAAGTCTGGTGTTTGGTATGACTGGACTATGGAGCTAATTAAGCTGATGTATCTGTTCGGAAGCCTATATCTGATTGCCTCTCACTCGTATAGCTGTCGCTCCCGTTCTTTCCGTCTAGAACAAAAAATTCCCAGCGACTAAGGTACTGCGTAAAACGTAGCCTACCTGATACCACTGTCCTACTTGCCACACTGGACATGCGCCGGGGTTACACCGTGCCTTAGCCTGTGGTTTGCTATTAGCGTCACAGCTGACATCTGATCGACTGCATTCAACTCGGCGCTCCCTTGATCCATCTCCACAGGTAACGGAACACTAAGAAACAATGTGTATTCATTACACCTTGTTATTTAACCAGACAGTTGGAGCAGAAAACAAACAAATCTAAAGACACACAAATTGGCTCGAGATAACGAACTTTCATTGCTATAACAGAGACTTGAGCCAAGTACGACGCAAATAGCTATCTTTGCTCATGGTGACAATACTCTGTTACGGGCCTGTTTTCACACTATTGTACCAGAAGATTTTACCTGACTCCAGTCACCAACTTTCCACACAGGACAGGCACCGAGATTACAGCTTGTCGTGTCTTGTGGTTCGGTGTTAGCGTCACATTTGCCTCTTCCTCCACTACATTTCACCGTGCGTTTTCTTTTTCCATCTCCACATGACACGGAGCACTATCAACGACAAAAGAGGTTCACGATCGATCGATTTGAACTAAATTAAGAGGATAGAATTCCTTGGCCAATACGCGGGCTAATGTAAAGCTAGGCTCTTTACTACGATTCCGCAATTTCAATCACTAACAAATATACCTCGGACGGGTTCCGAATGGCCTTCTCAGATACCAGGAAGATATGACCCTATTTCTATGCGATCTGTTTTGAAGTGTAGCAAGGAAACTTCTTCAGATCTACAAAAACTATTTTAGAAAAATGTCATCTTGACTGCCTACAGTGTGGTAAAACCTTGTTATTCCCGTTCCGAATTAATGTACCTGACTCCAATCTCCAACTTTCCACTCAGGGCATGAACCAAGATTACAGCTCGTTGTGGATTGTGGTTTGTTTCTTCCGTCACATTTTCCTCGCCCTCCACTGCACTCTATGGCTCGTTCTTTTTTCCCATTCCCGCAAGAAACAGAACACTGTGGAATCATGACAGAGTTACGTGTCATTTATCTGGGAGGAGAGACTCCTTGATCTTGAGAGTGTCTGTAAAGTCTATATATAAAATTTACCTAGGGTACAACAAAACTCTAATTTCTACCATCTACTAAGATTTTCCGAGGGTCCTTCGCACACAACCGAAAGACAAAGAATTTCGAATCCTGTTCTGTCTTGGTTATTATAACACGTCTATATATGTAAGTCGGAAAATAGTCTCTTTTTTTCTGTCGAGTGAAACATATATGATTTTCGAAGCAAAAGAATTTTAGAAATAAGTTTCGAACGTCCATCGCGCGAACCCAACATCTGAAGGTTTTGTTATAGCAACACATTATTTTTGACAGAAAAAGACGTCCTCTTCATTACCAAGTTGACATACGGTTATTCTCCCTAAAACGATTCTGGATACCGTTTAACCTAGAATATCATTTCAAGTATCGATCAATTTTTACCTGACTCCACTCTCCAACTTTCCACTCAGGACATGGACCAAGATTACAGCTTGTCGTGGCTTGCGGCTCACTTCTACTATCACACCTGCCTCGTCCACCACTACACTTTACTGTGCGTTCTCTTTTTCCATTTCCACAGGACACTGAACACTGCAGAGAAGTAAACCAACAACAAAAAAAAGCTACCGAATGCCATCTCTCTGAGAGGAGAGACTAGCTATCTCCCTGGGAGGCTCTTGCATTTACATCAAAGCTCTAGTTCCGACCATCTTTGCGGATTAACCGACAGGTTCTCAGGGTCCTTCGCAAGAACCCGAAAGACGAAGGTTTTGGTACCACGGTAGAATGCGATATTCTTTCAGAAAAAAGATTGTAGAGACCTCTTAGCCTACACGATGGTCTACCACACATTTCCTGCAGTGAATAAATATACCTGACTCCAGTCTCCAACAATCCACTCGGGACAGCGACCAGGATTACAGCTTCTTGAGGCTTGTGGCTTTGTTCTGCTGTCACACTTGCCACTTCCTTCACTACATTCGACTCGTCGCTCTATTTTCCCATTGCCACAAGACACTGAGCACTGAGGAAAAGAGTTACATTGTCATTTCAATTGAGCTGGTATACAATATAAATTCCTTGGTTGTTCTAAACAATTTTATCACACCACAAAATAAATTTGTCATGAACAAGCATCCCACCCTAGGGGGGAGTAGAAATACTCCTCGTTGCTTCATGCCACTGTAACTGGAGATAAGCGCCGGCTTGATCAGTCACTTGGCTCGTATGCAGACTTAAAGGGGCAGTATCACGAGAGGTCTCCTAAGTTTTTTGTGCAAACTATGCTAGAATTATAAAGGTGCACTCACTGATCAACAAAGTAACCTTTAAAAGACAAAAAAGCATAAAATTAAATCTCTAAAAGGTCAATGATTTTTAGTGATTTTCCTCCAAGTAACATTGTCAAACTTGAAAACGTCGGCCCGACGTTTTCAAGTTTTAGACCACTTCTTTCCTACTCGTCCGTAGCCACAACAATTGTAAACAACTTTCGTGACTAGTACGGTACATTTTAGCAACTACTAGTGGGTATCCAATTAAAACCAACACCTTCATTGGATTTTCAAGAAGCACTAAATCTTGGTGAGACTACCCCTTTAACCTACAAAATGAATTGCTGACTCTCTTTACCTCACTCCATTGTCCCGCCCTCCACACCGGGCACGAGCCCATGTCACACATAGTGTACACGTCTGGTTGGTTTCTGTAGTCACATCGGAACTTTCCTCCAACGCATCGCACACTGCGCTTTCTCCATCCCTTCCCACAAGTTACGGAACACTGAAAAATATGCATAGCTGTGTTGAAACACTGGGTTTAAGAGTAACACAAAACTACTTTAAGCTACTATAGGAAGCACGCCAGAAATTGAAGCGTTTTAGAAAACTTTCACGAAGTCTTAATTTACTCCCATTATGGAATTCTTGGAGGCGACCTCATAGCAACAACAACAACGACAACTACACCAACAATATAAAAAATAGAATAATAACAATAAAAACAACAATATATGCAACAAAACAACAACAACAATAACAACAACAGCGACAGCAACAGTAACTTTAGTAACGTGACAATAACACCAACAAAAACAGCAACAATATCAAAAACAATATATAACTGTACTGGGAGTTACCTCCTGCCATTCTCCAACTTTCCACTCCGGACAGGGTCCGTAGTTACAATCGGCGACTGTACCCGGCCTGTTATTTGAATCACATTGTGCGTTTAAGCCTCCAACACAATCCACGGAACGCGTTTTCTTTCCGTTTCCACACGACTTTGAACACTGAAAATCAGAAACAAATCAGGAATTAAAATATGTGACAAAGAGTTACAAGTAAATACTTATTAACTGAAAAAGGTTTGTGTCACCATGGAACGAGGTTGATGTCAGGATGCTGTTTTGTGCAGTTCGTAAATATAACATATGTATAAAAAAATAGGTTGAAGACTGGTACAGTGGAAGGACCGTGGTGGAAAGATCCTTCCCCCACAAAATGTACGATATCTGGAGCCAAATTTTCGACTTGGCAAATTTGGAGTAGTGGTATGTTGTTAGCTTTAAATGCTATGCCTCCAAAACGGCTGGGACAATGACAGGTAATAAGTTGTGAGCCTATTATATTATAACGCACTTATTAACCATGAAATAAATCTTCATACCCTACTCCACTCCCCTGTTCTCCACTTCGGACAAGGTCTTTTGTTACATGTCAAGGTTGACCGTGGTTTGATGTTTGGGTTACACCTGGAATTGAGTCCGACACATTCCACGGTGCGTTTCTTAAGGCCGCTACCACACGTCACTGAACACTGTAACAGAAGATATGCAGAGAATTATGGCAATGATTTCTTGGGAGTGTAAGGTGACTGAGTTGAGAAACCTGTCGGTTAGGTCTCCGTTTGTCCGTTTGATAATCTACCTAATACAACCGCAAAAACAAGTGTTTCTCTTAACCTACAGTGCAGGCCGCGTTTTTTGGAACGGTACGCTCGATAAACCAAGTTTTCGATGCCGCCGTCTTAGAATACCAAATCTACAAAATGTGCACTCGCGCGGCCAAAATTTACTCTCGAATTTGATGCTTACCTGACTCCAAGGCCCTGGTTTCCATTCTGGACACAGCCCAAGATTACATCTCGCAATGCTTTGTGGTCTGCTGCTGCTATCACATCGGGCGCTGCCGCCTTCACATTGTACTGTACGTCTTTTGAAACCATCACCACAAGTCTTTGAGCACTGTAAGCAAACGAAAACTCATGAAAATGTCTTTGCTAATGCACAGAAATACGTTTGGCCAACCAATTGGTTTAAGTAATTGAAATTCTTTTCAACGTTTAAGAATAAGAAGAAATCGTTAAATAGCCAGTGAAAAGGAAAGCTTCGATCACTCATGTTTACGATTCCGTGTTACAGTCGCCCTCTCTAAAAGAAAAAAATCGGAGAAGGCGTCTGTGTGATGCCGTTGATAAGTGTGCTCCTTGCATAAATTATCCATGCATTAAAACCATTTCAGTGTCACAACAACTGACGTGACATGCGGAGACAACACAGGAACTAGCTCTCAACACGTGATCTGCACGTGAGTGCAGATGTAACACATGCTAATGTTTACTTGCCAAACAACTAAGAACCGCATCTTCGAACAAACATTTATTTTGGAGTAAACAGATATTATCCAGATGTTAACGACCAGTAAAGCAAAAAGAACCCAGCTATCTTATCAAAAAATCGTTTTACCATCCCCCAAGCGCCTGTTGTCCACTGCGGACACGTTTCAAGTTCACAGCGTTCTGTGGCCAGCGGCTTTGTTCTGGCGTCACAGCTGAAATCTTCATCACTACATTCCACGAATCGATTCTTAACTCCTGAGCCGCAAGTAACAGAGCACTAAATATGGAAAAAAAAAACACGGAAAGAAGTTATCATTAGCGTTAACAGTTTGCAGTTACATGCAGGAAATGGTTTAAACTTGACCACTCACTTTGCTCCAGTCTCCCGTTATCCAATAAGGACACGGTCGGATGTTACAGGCCTCTTTAGCAGTTGGCCTGACTTTCTCGTCACATCCGGGACCTGACCGGCCATTAGTGAATCTGCAATCAACAGCCCGCTGCCTTGTGCCTGCGCCGCAGGAAGCTGAGCACTAAAGAGAAGGATGCACAATTCAAAATTTGATTACTTCACAAACAAACTAATTTGAAATAAAGAACTTCATTGCAAACATAGTTTAACTTGAATGCGTTGTTGTCACAAAAACTAGGAAATACGCTATGAAGGGTCACTTCTATATGCTTGCAGACGTCGAGTTACCGTCAGGGAAATGTTCGGAATCGGTCGGAGCCATTCGCTCTGTTGCGTTCGGCATTGTCGCGAAATACTTCATGTAAACGCATTTACCTCTCCCCACAGGCTTGTTTTCCACTCAGGACACTCTTTTAGCTCACATCGTTCCGTAGTCGGCGGTTTCGTTCTTGCGTCACAGCTTATATCTTTATCGCTGCATTCAAGTAAACGAGTTTTAATTCCGGAGCCACAAGTTACTGAACACTGTAAAAGAAAAGAAAAGACAATCAGCTACACAAAAGCGTCCTTGAAAGACAATACCAGACAACACAAGCGGCCACATAAGCGTGGAAAATTGTAAAACTATCTTTTCTGGTTTTAACACTTACTTAAAGCCAAACACCTTCTCACATACACTTCAGTGAACGGTGACCTCTCAAAAGCGTGTAACGCCCTTGTCAAACGGACTCGCAAGTTGAAAACTTAGGTCTGCTTGCGATGACTTGCGCTCACTTTGGTGAAGACAAATTTGAACGCAAGTCAACGCAAGTCTTTCATTGTTTGGCCACCCACACCAAGTCAACGCAAGCTGAGCTACGTCCATGCAAGTCGAGTGCGTGATGGTTAATTTTGGCCGCGCGGGACTAAGCCCGTAGCCTTGAAATGGATTTTTATTTTAGCACTTGCGAGTCCGTTTGGCCCATATCCCTCGCCCTCAACGAAANCCGGGACCTGACCGGCCATTAGTGAATCTGCAATCAACAGCCCGCTGCCTTGTGCCTGCGCCGCAGGAGACTGAGCACTAAAGAGAAGGACGCACAATTCAAAATTTGATTACTTCACAAGCAAACTAATTACAAATAAAGAACTTCATTGCAAACATAGTTTAACTTGAATGGGTTGTCACATAAACTAGGAAATACGCCATGAAGGGCCACTCTTATATGCTCGCAGACGTTACCGTCAGGGAAATGTTCGGAATCGGTCGGAGCCATTCGATTCTGTTGTGTTCGGCATTGTCGTAAAATACCTCATGTAAACGGACTTACCTCTCCCCACAGGCTTGTTTTCCACTCAGGACACTCTTTAAGTTCACATCGTTCCGTAGTCGGCGGTTTCGTCCTTGCGTCACAGCTTATATCTTTATCGCTGCATTCCAGTGAACGAATTTTAATTCCTGAGCCACAAGTTACTGAACACTGTGAAAGAAAAGAAAAGAAAAGACAATCAGCTACACAAAAGCGTCCTTGAAAGACAATACCAGATAACACAAGCGGCCACATAAGTGTGGAACATTGTAAAACTATCTTTTCTGGTTTTAACACTTACTTAAAGCCAAACACCTTCTCACATACATCTCAGTAAACGGTGACCTCTCAAAAGCGTGTAACAAACGCCCTTGTCAAACGGACTCGCAAGTTGAAAACTTAGGTCTGCTTGAGATGACTTGCGCTCACTTTGGTGAAGACAAATTTTGAACGCAAGTCGACGTCTTTCACCGTTTGGCCACCCACACCAAGTCAACGCAAGCTGAGCTACGTCCATGCAAGTTGAGTGCGTGATGGTTAATTTTGGCCGCGCGGGACTAAGCCCGTAGCCTTGAAATGGATTTTTATTTTAGCACTTGCGAGTCCGTTTGGCCCATATCCCTCGCCCTCAACGAAACGACACGTCTATAAAGCGGATAGTCAAAACTGATACCGAGTCTGAGTGCATAAGGTACGAGTAAACCTAGTCCAACTTGTCAAGGCATTTTCGCTTAACTTTGTTCACTGTTGCGGTTAAGATACTGTTGGACTTTTGTTTGTAATTCCCCTAATTTTTGTGACTTACTGACAGAAAGGCGTTAGAATCGACTACTTACTTTGCCCCAGTCTCCTGTCATCCAATACGGACATGGTCTGATGTTACAGTCCTCTTTAACAGGTGGTTTGATTTTTTCATCACATCCGGAACTTGTCTGTCCATTTTCAGACTTACAACCAACAGTCCGCTGTCTTTGGCCTTTGCCACAAGAGACCGAGCACTATGAATAAAAAGCATTTAAATGTCTGATTGTAGCACAAACAAAAAAGATTAAACATGAGGTAAATTCTTGCTAAAGACAGGTAACATGCCCGATGTATAACGCGTGTGGTATATGGTCAGAGAATGACAAAAAGATTATTAACACACACAAACTGTGCATGGGTGTCTTGAAACCATTGAATGAAGGCATTTTAGTATTTGTGGAAGCTACCACTGCATTTGCCGGTCAAATGTAGACGCGCGAAAATATAAAAACTGTTTTAGCCAGCCATCTTGGGTTTTACTCTAGCATGGCGTAACTAACCAATAAGATTAGTTTTGCAAAGAGGAGGGTATAAGATAAACTTCAGATGCCGGTCAATGATCTTGGCACTTGATGTTTGAGCTAAGGAGTAATTTCCTGTACCAGCCCTAAGTAAATAAAAGACTTATTCCGTCTCAATCGGAGCCAATTTGTTTATATGGCTTTTGTTTAAACGAAGTCTTTCAGCTTAATTCTCTCTAAAATGTATCCAACCAGGCTATCGAATATAAGTTATTGCTAACCTCTTCCCATGGGTTTGCTATCCACTCTGGACATGCTTCAAGATCACATCGTCGTGTAGTCGGAGGTTTTGCCCACGCGTCACAGCTTATGTCCTTATCACTGCATTCCACTGAGCGAACTTTAATTCCTGAGCCACAAGTCACGGAGCACTGTAAAGAACCATCATTAAAATACCATAAGTACCTTATTGTTACTTATTTTCGCGGGAACTTAATTTCATGAAAATGGAACGGACATAGTTCGTGGGACTGTAATTTCGCCATTTGGCCAGAGAAAGAGGAACTAAAATGCGAGACAAACAATTAAAATTTGACTTTTTTTGGAGTACTTCTTACTTTGGCCCAGTCTCCCTTTATCCAATAAGGACACGGTCTGATGTTACAGTCCTCTTTACTTGCAGGTTTATTTCCCTCGTCACATCCGGAACTTGACTTCCCGTCTGTAGATTTGCAATCAACGGTCCGCTGTCTTTGACCGTCGCCACAGGAAACTGAGCACTACAGACAGCAAATGAAAATTCATAGTGTAAAAGCGTGTATGAAGTTCAAAATGTTAATTGGCGATGAGATGTCAAGTTTGTTGTTCTTTTTCGTCTCAATCGTAGCCTATTTGCTCCTGTTTTGTTTATAGTTTTTGTTTCTTGTTTCAACCACAGAAAACTATTACTTTAAGGCTTACTTCTATTTAAATAAAGTTAAAAACTAAACGTTTTGTGGTTTGTTTGTTTCCTACAAGGCGGGTTTCAATTGCTTTCATTTAGATTACGGGACATTTTGCGTAGTATCTTTGGCACTCATCAGGGGACTTCGAAAAACCTTCGAAAATGTTTATAAATGTTCGCAGACGTCGAGTTACC